CCATTTTTTCCACCACCCCAGCCTTCTCTCCCAAGAAATACTCAAATACACTTTGCAGTCCTTATCACACACAAGCAACAGTTTGGTCAAGCTACGCTTCCTCCAGCAGACAAGCCTTCATCTGTCATGAAGACATAAAATTGCACATTATTTCCGCTCAATCATCCGCAGCTGCATATATAAATGTAGGTAAAACAGTAATATTCTGTTTTTACTTTTATTTCAAAACAGTGTTGTACATACCAGTTACTACTGTGTTTGGAAAGAAGCACACCAGACAGTGATTTCAGAAAATACCATCCTTTGCTGACACTAAGCAAATAATTCATAGCTAGTCCAAATCTGCGATTTTCCATTTTTAATATTAATTGAAGGAGACTTTAAGAATTGACTAAAACAAGAGAACCTGTTCGTTACAGAGCATATACTAAATACAAGCGACGCAGACTATGTTTTGAGATAATGATCGATGATTGCAGATATTGTAAGAACTGTGCAGGCTGCCGGAGTTCAGCTAATTAAGACTCAGTGATTTTCCCCCCGGGCTGGTTTACACCAGTTACAGATGGGATCACAAATCAAATTCATTAAATTCGTTACACTGGATCACGAGCCTGGCTGAAACAAGGCTGAGAATCAAAGCGAAGTCCAAGCCTGAGATAGTTTGGGATGCACAGCCCAACACAACACACAGCAAGAGACTTATGGGATCAACCTAAAGATACTCTAAGTCCTAAACTACTAACAATTCACCACCTTGTGCCTTCTCCAACAACACGTAACAAATACCATCAGGTTGGAAAGAGAGCGGCTTCTTATCTTGGAAGACCTTGTTGAAAATTTCAGATGATTACAGGTAGAACTCTTTTTTTTTTAAAGTTCCATTAGCATAGCAAAAGAGGAAGACAAAAAAGTTTAATTGAGGAGTATTTCTACTTGAGTCAGTAAAGGCTGGCAAGTTATTTCTCAGCTAAGAACAAAGTTTGAAAAAAGAAATAAAACACACTAGATGCTGTTGTGCAATGAAATCATCCTGAGAATTTCAGATGATTACAGGTAGAACTCCAACTCAAAAAATATTTGCAGAGAGACAAGAAGTTTCCATTTGTAAGTCACAGGAGTCAAGTCTGCACTTGATTAAAAGAAAAAAAGTCATCTATCTAGCTCGCCTGATTTCCAGAACACATTACTTTATCTAAGCAAAGTTTATATATGCTTTGAGCCACTCCTACTTGGAAAAAAAGGAATTTTAAAGTAATTTTCTATTTACCCAGAGAAAGGAAAGAGTATCACACATACACAGAAATTTACAGCACCTGAAACAGTGCCCAATTCAATTTAAAAGTCTTGTAAACATCTTTCTTCAGTAACTCAAGGTCATAAATAACCGCACTACTTGTATCACCCTACCTAAAGGGTCCACATTTAGAAAAGCCCATTCACATCACCTGCAAATTTGCAGAAAAGCACAGTCTCATACGCAGCTGCTATTTTCTATAGTTAGTTTCTTATGTAAAAGTTTGGGGACTCTCAGGGTGGTTGAAGGAAAACACAGCCCTCAGTCACATGCTAATTTCCCACCAAAGTTACAGCAAGGAGCTTCAGCTAAATATAGAATATGTATTGGTGCGTTCCTGGTGCCCTGCCAAACTTCAGGAGGGTTTTAGTTTCTAAAAAGGATAGCCATCAGTGGATCAAAATTTACTTTGTTTTTGTAGCCTGCATAGTTAGAAGGTAACTTTGGAATGCATTTTTTAATAGGTAACTTCAAAGCATGCAAGATTACACAACACAGCTCAAAAGAAAAATGGAAACCCCTTTATCCTTAAGTATATCTATATTCAAGAGAAATAAAATGTTTTTTCCACGTGCTACTTTGCCAACGTTTTGTCTCTTCGTACCAAGATATCCATTTTCATACTATTTTTAACTTGCTTATTCAGATATGCCTGCAATCACCAATTCGGGTCTCTTACCACACAGAAGAACTTAATACCACCTTGCATCAGCGAAATTGTAAGGGTTATATGGCTAAAAAAATTCCACTGATACCCTTCTGTATCAAATACACTTGCGTCGGGCCATTTTTAAGTATAACCAAGCTGGAATCTGTTTGAAGTTTCCAGATATAAGAAAGAAAACATTACTGCCTGCAGAGACTACTCGACAGAGGGATTCATATGCTGTTTGCACACGTAGGTACTAATTGGCAGATGAAGCTACTGCTGTGGGAGCGAATATCTTAACTGGCTGCTCGTGCATTGGACGGGTGTACTCTTCACAGGGTAAAAAACTGGCTGGATGGCCGTGCCCAGAGAGTGGTGGTGAACGGAGTTCAATCCAGCCGGTAGCTGGCCATAAGTGGTGTCCCCCAGGGCTTGGTACTGAGGCTGGTTCCCTTTAATATCTTTACCACTGACCTGGACGAGAGGATCGAGTGCACCCTTGGTAAATTTGCAGATGACACCAAGTTGGGCGGGAGTGTCGACCTGCTTGAGGGTAGGATGGCTCCGCAGAGAGATGTGGACAGGATGGATGGATGGGCTGAGGTCAACGGTATAAGGTTCAACAAGGTCAAGTGTCGGGTCACAACAACCCCATGGACGCTACAGGCGCGGGGCAGAGTGGCTGGAAAGCTGCCCGGTGGAAAAGGAGCTGGGGGTGTTGGTCAACAGCCGGCTGAATATGAGCCGGCAGTGTGCCCAGGTGGCCAAGAAAGCCAACAACATCCTGGCCTGTATCAGCAATAGTGTGGCCAGCAGGACTGGAGCAGTGATGGTCCCCCTGTACTCGGCACTGGTGAGGCCCCACCTCAAGTGCTGTGTTCAGTTTTGGACCTTTCATGACAAGAAAGACACAGAGGTGCTGGAGCGTGTCCAGAGAAGGGCAACGGAGCTGGTGAGGGGTCTGGAGCACACGTCTTCTGAGGAGTGGCTGAGGGAACTGGGGTTGCTTAGCCTGGAGAAAAGGAGACTGAGGGGAGACCTTAACACTCTCTACAACCACCTGAAAAGAGGTTCTAGCGATGTGGGGTCGACCTCTTCTCCCAAGGAACAAGCGATAGGACATGAGGAAATGGCCTCAAGTTGTGCCAGGGGAGGTTTAGGATGGGTATCAGGAAAAAGTTCTTCACAGAAAGGGCTGTCAAGCATTGGAACAGGCTGCCCAGGGAAGTGGTGGAGTTGCCATCCCTGGAGGCATTTAAAAGATGGGCAGACGTGGTGCCTGGGGACACGGTTTAATGGTGGCTTTTGGCACTGTTAGGTTGATGGTTGGACTTGATGATCTTAAAGGTCCCTTCCAACCTAGACAATTCTGTGATTCTATGATCGGTCTCTTCATGTGCTCCTATTCTCCATCGCTGCCTATTACATGTATCACACCTGACAGACCACAGCAATGGCTGTCTCAGTAAAACGTGAGGTGAGCACCACAGTGGGAAGAAAGCCTGGAAGGTTATCATATACGGAACAAAATCCAACCCAACAATATCCGATTTACACAGGGTGGAGGGTGGGCACGTGTAGAGCATGAACGAGAAAAGAATTTGACATAAAGCATAGGTCAGGAGTTGCAAAAATATTGGTAACTTTCTGAAGGCAAGCTTCACTTAGGCTCCAGTTTGCCCTAAAAAGCCCGAACATGAGTTGCTTCCCATTTCCGTAGGCACACACACCCTTTTTCCCCCCACTAAAATTACCAATGGCAAGAAGCAGCGCAGGATGCCTGTGTGTCAGATGACATTAATCTTTCATGCTTTCTCTATTAGGTAAGACAATACCACGTACACATGGAAACATGCAAAGCCCCTCGGTACTGAATTTTGAGACTGTGTGATAATAGCATGAGCAGGGGAACCTTATATCCGTGCAGGTCTATCCTACAAAACGCTGATGAGCTCTATCACACCTCCCTTCCAATGGACCATCATGAAAGGAAACGCTTATTATGCTAAAGATGTCTGAAAAGTCAAACCAAACCCATGAGTTAGACCAACAGATCAAGCATATGTTCCAAAATTCAAAAAAAGCACGTTGTACAAGATGAGCTATGTGTCAAAGCTGTACGTGTAGATCTAAATCAGTAAAAGTGGTGTTAAAACTGTAGACACTTAGACACAAAGATGACCTAACTTCTGGGTTATCCCAAGACAACCAAACAAACACTCAAGAAAAACACACCCAGATTTCTTCAAAAGAGCAGAGATTATTTTTTTTTCCCCACTTGTGATTCAAATTTCCCCAAGTAATTAAGTCTGGAACACTGTATCCCTTAAAAGTTTCTGTTAAGTCCAAATGAAGATTTTATTGAAAGTTTTCCTCAAAATGGTCTACACTCCTTAAAGATTATTCTTCAATGCTAACTCATAAACGCCCCAGAAAAAAATTCTGTAGCTATTTTCTTTACATGTGCACGTTACAGAGCCTTTACTGTTACCCTGCTGATGTGAGGTCTCATTACAAAAAGCCCAAGAGGTGTACATATGAACCACACCTTCTCTTTGAAGGAAGGATATCATCTTTACAACCACCGTGAGATGCGCACTGCAAGAACAAAGCTTTTAGGAAAATAAAATGAAGTCTGAAGGGAAACCTTACTGTGATTTTAAATTTACAAAGTAACAGAGCTTGAGAAATCCTTGGACATTGTCTGTAATACAGCCGTTCGCCATTCTCTTACCACTCTTCAAACAATTCCAAGAACATGAGTATCTAGATCTCAATTGCTTTCTAAATTAATAACAACTTGATTATTCAACACAAATCATTAGCTACTGTAAAACCTCCATGAAATTACAAGCTGATATTCAGTTCCTTGTAGCATGCACCAAAACATTTAACCTGCTTTTTTTTCATCATAACAGTTTTATTACTCACATTCTAGCAAAAGGTTTTACACCTAACTCAGCACACAAAGCTCTGGTATGCAGCACTGAGAATTATGAAAAAAAAAAAAAACCCAAACAACAAAACAACATCAGATTGACACAAGGTTCTTACTTTTAGCAGTTCGAAATAATGAAGACAGTGGTAAACAGGGGCAAGGAGCAGCCGGGGTAGAACATACTGAACAGCTTCTTTAAAGCCTTCACCTATTGACTAGAAACAAAGTAAGTTTCAGTCTTAAAACAACAAATGTACTGAACAACAATATAATGTAATTAAAATAGTAATATCAATAATAAGGCTTACTTAAAAGAAAGTTACCTGTAAGTAAAATGCTGCTCCTGGCTTTGACAACTGACTTAGAAAATGATCATGAAAACCAGGTCGCAAAATGTCTTGTGCATATGATTCATATGGATCAAATGCTAGCTCCTAAGAAGAAATACAGAATAATTTTACAAAACTGATTTAATATCTATACTTCATATTTCTTACAGAAAATACGTATGCTACATAGAATGGTTTGGGTTGGAAGGGCCATCTAGTCCACCCCCCCTGCGATAAGCAGGGACATCTTTAACTGCTGCAGGTTGCTCAGAGCCCCGTCCAACCAGACCCCATAGGACAGACTTTTCTGCATACATTTTCCAAAACACCTACAGAGAAGAACCAATACTTTCACATACACAGACTCGAGGAGTAATTCAGTCTGGAAGAGATCTCTGGAGGTCAACTGGTCCAATCCCCTATTCAAAGCAGGGCCCACCTCAGGGCCAAAGCCAGATCCAGCGTCAAAGCTAGCTGAGGTTGCTCAGGGCCTCATCCAGTTAAGTTCCGAGTACCTCCAAGAACTGAGGCACCAAAACCTCTCTGGGAAGCCTATTACAATGTTCAGTTGTTCTCGTTACAGATTCCCGCCCCCCCCCCCCCCCCCCCAGTATCTAATCAGGATTACTGGTTTTACCATTCACATGCTCTTTCTCATCTCACAGTTCTCTACTGTGAACCCCACCCTGCCTCAGTCTTTTCTATACCTTCACTTCAGGTAACTGAAGACAGCAATAAGATCTCCTTCCTCAGACTTCTCTTTTTTAAGACTGAATAAACCCAGCACTCTTAATCCTCTTTGTACATCACGAGCCCCAACTCCTTAATCATCATGGCAACCCTCACGCATAAGCCTATCTTAGAATCACAGAACGGTTTAGGTTGGAAGCGACCTTAAAGATCATCTAGTTCCAACCCCCCTGCCCTGGGCAGGGACACCTCCCACCAGCCCAGGTTGCTCCAAGCCCCATCCAGCCTGGCCTTGAACACCTCCAGGGATGGGGCAGCCACAGCTTCTCAGGGCAACCTGCCCCAGGGGCTCACCACCCGCACAGTGAAATATTCCTTCCTGATATCTATTCTAAATCTCCCGTCTTGCAGTTTGAAGCCATGACTCCTCGTCCTATCACTACCTGCCCTTGTAAAAAGTCCCTCTCCAGCCTTCTTGTAGGCTCCCAGATACTGGAAGATGCTGTAAGGTCTCCCCAGAGCCGTCTCTTCTCCAGGCTGAACAACCCCAACTCTCTCAGCCTGTCCTCATGGGAGAGGTGCTCCAGCCCTCTGAGCATCTTCATGGCCTCCTCAGGACCTGCTCCAACATACCTTGTACTATGGCAGACCAAAACTGGACACAGAATGCCAGGTGTGGTCTCAAGTACTACACCGTAATGACCCTTCAACCTGCTGGCTACGCTTTTCCTAATAGGCAGTTAGCCTTCACTGCCGATTCCTGAGGACCTCCAAGCCCTGTCAAGCAGTAGTGCTCCTCAGCCAGGCAGCTGGACTATTACATAGGGTTGTTTGGTCCCAGCTGCAGAACTTCAAGTCTACCTTTGCTTAACTCCATGAGGTTCCTTTAGGTCCATTTCTCCAGATTGTCAGGTCCCCCAAGAAGCAGCCCTGTCCTCCTGTATGTCATCCCCATCCTCCCCCCAAGTTGGCGTTACCTACCAACTTTATGAAACAGACCTTCTCCCAGCACACTAACACAGACATTAAACAGTACCAGCCCCAATATCAAAGCCTGAGGAATGCCACTGACCACTGGCAGACTTTATATTGCTGATGACAGTCCTTCAAGCCTGCCAGACCAACCAATTTCCCCACCCACTCTACAATTCAACTCTCACCAAGCTGACTATGTGGATACTATGACGGACTGTGCTGAAGGCCTTGCTTAAGTTCAGATAAGGGATATCAACTGCTCTTCCCTTTGTCCATGGACCCAGACACAACCGCTTAGAAACCAGTTGAGTTGGTCAGGTACAGTTTGTCCTTTGGAAATCACCTTCTAGTCCTTCCCATGGCTGGGTGTGAATTCCAGAAAGATTTGCTATTCTTCTCAGGCACTGGGGAGAGGCTGACCAGCTTCTAGTTTCCAGGATCTCCCTCATCACTCTTTCTGAGGTTGGGCAGCCTCCTGCTACACCTACCCTTCTTCTTTGGGACTCGGAATGCATAGTCCTTGTACTTTGAACACACCGCCGCTGAAAAACCAATTCTCCTGAGACCTTTCTACCCTCAAGGCAGCCCACCAATATGAACCTGCCTCCCAATTCCCTGAACAAGCTAAGTCTACTCTCCCAAAACCCAAGGTCTTCAGTCTGCTTATCTCCTGCACTTTTGTCAGGACATTAAACTCCATCTCTACCATTGGCAGCCAAACCTGCCATTAGCTACAATGTTCCTGCCAGTTCTTCCTTGTTCATGAGAACAAGGTCAGGTGCAGCACCCTTCTTAGCTGGCCCATCAGCACACGCCACAAAAACATGTCCCCAGTGCCCTCCAGAAGTTTTCTGGATTACTTGAACCACGGTACATTGTCCACCCAGCAGATATCAGCAATGTTATTCTCCCAAGAGAACCGGGGCCTGGGATAAGGAGATGACTCCTACTTGTTTAGAGAATGTTTTGGCCACTTATCAACTGGGCAGTCTTCGCGGGAGAAGTTTGACAACAACATGCCCTTTGGTGGCCTTCTCCTCTGATCCTGATCCTTAAGCATTCAACCAGGTCATCATTCATTCCATAACAGAGCTCTATGTACTTGAGCTGATCTTTCATTAAGCCTCCTGGCCTCTCCTTCTTGAGTGCCTGTATTCACTCGTACAGCCCTCCGTCACGCAACCTTTCCTTCCACGTTGCTAATTCCACATAACAGCTCTGCAAGCGTGCACAGACTCCCAAATCCTCCTATCTGTTCATGAGTACATGCACCCTGGGGAAACAGGCACTGCAGATGAGCCTTTGGTCATCCTACCTTCTCAAGAGGAAGGTGCAAGAGCATTTGTTGTCATGCTTTCCGTTATGCACATCCTCTTCTCCTCTCAATCCTTCAGTCTGCAAGCCTTGGTGTCCATCTACTAACACGCCTAGTTCAAAAGCCTTCCCTCACCAGCTTAGCAATCCTGTTGGCAAAGAAGCCCTCGCTCTACTGTGTCTTTCCACAGCAATCCTGATCTACAGCCAACTTACAGGATACCTCCATTTCTGCTGAAGTCTAGTCACAGGTGGTGTTGGGCCTCCCTCCCCCACCCTTGCTCTCTAAAGTTTAGACAGCCCTATAACAACTGAGGTTTAGAGACTCAAAAGGTAAAAGCACTTTCAAAAACAGGCAGTCTGTTCATCACGGCGGGGTTGGAAGAAGAGATCTCAACCTAAACAAAGGCAGCTAGAACAGAGGCGCGCTTAGCATCTATGTGCAAGTCATTAAAATACACATGAATAGACAAAAAAAAAACTGAGTAATTTCTTACCTCCGCCATGTCTTCAAAACAGCTGCCTACTAGCGGATGAGGACTACCTTCATCTGTCATTTCAACAGTGTCTTCTATATGACCCAATAACTTCACACTAAGTTCATGAATGTCCGATATACGACTAAATATATTTTCAACATCCTGCAAAAGGCAACAGAACCAGACAAAAATCAACAGGGAGTTGGACAGGATTTTTGAGGAAGAACGTTACATGCAAAGCTACTCTGTTACAATAAGAAGGTCAAGCACATCCTTAAACAGAACAAAATTTTATAGTATGTTTTATTACATACTTTCTGTATAATTTATATAAGATCATAGAATTCATTTTTAAAATAATAACTATATATACGGATACATACATCAAAGTTTACAATGATTCAAACATGGCAAAGAACAAGAGTGACAAAGCAAATTACAGGCCTGCAAATGAATACAGTGAATTGGGTGGTTTCTTCTATAGTTCTATAAAACCCACGCTTCCCCACAAGCACTCCTTTACTATTTCCATTTCAGAACTCGAGACAAGCGCTTCCTCTACTACTGACATGTTAAACTGGACAATAGTTCAGTTCTAGAAGTGTTCACCTAGATTTCCAGATATTACAGTAAAGGGTTTTTTTTGTTTGTGGTTTGTACAATACTTACATGAGATGAAAACAGTTTGGAGTTGGAGGCGTACGGCTCTCTAAAAACTCTGATAATGAGATTTAGTTCCCTTATATATTGTCGAACCTCTGCCATAAATGACTTCACTAGGTCATAATAGGTTTGCTCCCCTGAGGTGGAGGGTTCCTCATCAGATAAAGTTAGTGCACTTAAATCCTCTACATCTTGATGGAACATATCCATTAATACCTAGGTAGCAACAAGGGGGAAATCCAGAAAGTGAGAACAACTTCTTTTCAAGATCTACCTGTAAGTTACCAGTAAAGGAAATCTATTTCCATGAACTCAGACTGATCAGCAGTAACATCTAAGCATTATCATTCTGCAAATGGCTGAGCGTTTAAAAAGCAACATTCATTGCTACGAATTTGCAAGTCATTATTTGCAGTGGCAATTTCTGAAGAATCCCCGGTTGTTTAGACCAATCCAGGCATCTCTCCAAGAACGTGGTCCTAAAATCAATAACAATTTTAAGAGGTCTATGAAGTATGAAGGCGCATTTAGCTGTATTCTGTTACTCTGAATTAGTAATCTAAGTTTCTGAAGAAACTATATTATCTGAAGTCAAAAAGTGTGCGTGTTACGGCTTTTCAGCTTTTGCTTTCGCAGAAAGTCACACATGATCACACTCAGAACCCCGTCATCTATATCTGCGATGAATACTGGCCTGCCCACACACTGTATGTGGCCTGATTTCTGTCCTTAATAACTCCCGAGTTCTCTTGTTAAAACGGACTCTGGAGGAAGGGCACCAGCTTCAGAAAAGGTGGCAGTCACACTGCAGGACTATGCAGGCAAAAGGACCTCTAAAAACTTTTGACTACCAGACATTCCAATTCATAACCGAGCAAGGCTTACCAAACAGAAGCAATTAATAATTTGAAATTCTCAAGAGAAGTGGATCACTGAACACTGCTTCCAAACACGGTATCCGAGTCAGGAGTCATTACAATGACTTAGGAAGCAGATCACACTGGGTTGTTTCCATGATACTCAAAGAACATCTTAAAGGTAAATTAAATAAGCTGACTGCAAATTAGTAAAAGGCGTCCTAATTTGAAGTATCATTAGCAGAAAGAAAACCGAAAGAGGGTCCACAAACAATCTACAATGATGCAGCAAATCTTAACAACAAGCCAGCCTAAGGTGCGGTACGACATATGAGATGACTTTGTCCTGGGATAGACTGATGGGACAGTATTTATAAAGAAATCTGCTGCCCAGAGCTACACCCCTTCCAGGAAGTCAGGAAGCGCATCCAACAGTACACGTGAACTTCAGAATAAATGAGAAGTTCAGTGCTGCTTGCCAGCCTCCCTTCCAAACAGATGGGGGTGAAGCCATGGCAACCTATGCCTGTTACCGCAGAGACTGACACGACTGCTGTCCATCACTGAGGAGACTGCAGAAAACACTGCAGGGTCAAAGCTGTAAATACTCCTCTGAGAGCCACCGGAGGGAAGGCTGACAACATTAAGCATGAACTAGAGTTTTTAAAATGGCAGAAAACAGAATGAAAAAGCGTTTTTCAAAATAATTATAAAACTGGAGATCAAGAATTAAACTCCTGAACGAGCCACAACAAACATGACATTTACCCTGATACATACAAAGAAAGAAGACTTCTGCTAAGACATGTTAAAAGCTCCAGAAGACATGTCAGTTAGCCGAGCCGTTGACTACAACAAGAAAATATTTTGGGATCTGTAAGGTCAAGAGATGGTCTGGTAGGTTCAGACTTGACTACTGGAAACGGGCACACAGCAGGTTCTTTCTCCTAGTGAGCCCAAGGCCCCTGCTACCCACCCTGGTGTTCTCCTCTGAAAGCCGAGCAACGGACGTTTTGCATTAAGACTGACATTTTATGAAGCTCTAAGAACAGAAGGTAATTAATCTTTCAAAGCCAGTGAATGTAGATGGAACTCGGGTTATAAGGAGAATCCTAACTAATTCTGGGGAACGGGACATCACAGGGTCACTACTGCAGGAAATTACATGGAATAACACAGGTATTCAAGGAGGCCTCAACATTTGGAACTTTACTCACAGATGGAGCCCCAGCATATACTTAAGCTAGAAGATGCCAGGCTATATTCACAAGGTGTGCTTCTCACTACCCTGAATCCACAGAAACAAACTAAAGTAACTATACCCTAGATATTGAATGAGTAATCAGAAGCACAAGCAGATAGTAGAAGAAAAACAGCTTGCATTTTAATGGAGTTTGTTTTTTGCAGACAAGGCAAAATTTTCCAGAAGGATGGATGGCACAAAAGCAAGCATGGAAGTGCTCGAGGAAAAAAAAAATAAATAAATAAAAATGGGGGCACACAAGGCCAAGAAACTGTTCTGGTTGTTTCGTTTCAAAAAATAAAACCGAGCAGAACACGTGTTGTGGGTATGAACATAATACACTATGAGGCTTCGCAATGCAACTGGAAAGAAAACACCTTGGAAGCACCTTTCAACAGCTTGTTCTGCTGAGGCAGTAAACTAGCAGGCCTGCTTTAGAGCCTTTTAAAAGTTTCTTCTGCGTACATATCAAAGAGCTCCTCCAGTGGAAGTTCCTAACTCAACTTCATCCCGGCTCTTCTGCTCACCACCTTTCCTAGGACAGAAAGAAGCACGCAGCAACAGCGCTTGTTCCTGTTATCATTCTATGACAAATACTCAAACAGACACCTTCAAACCCTGCCCTAACAACCCAGGCAGATAAGCCCAAAAGCAAGAGTGACCAAGAATACTGTCCTGACTGAGAAGTACTTGACTCGTCAAGACCTCACAAGAGATCTTAAGAGAGAGTAAAGAAAGGTGAAGAAAGTAGGGTTAAAAAAAAAGCAAGCAGTAACGAGGCAAAGGCATTCATTGAAACACTGAGACAATCCCAAGAAGATATTGCTTAACACAGAGCAAGACAAAATACTGAAGAGAGGCAATACATCTGAAAACCCCTAGACTTCAGCGACATTAGAGATTCTTAAATCCCATCCCTTAAAGGATTAACTTCTAGCTTTGTTTTTTAACCAGTAGGAAAACTTGAGATGCTGATGGGGCGGCCACAGAAGGTAGAGCGCCAAGGCACCTGAGAGACAGGCAGCGGACTTTGCTCTATCACTGCTGGAAAGATAAGCGATTCCAGTCTGAACCTAAAGAATCTTCTAAAGCGACAAGAAAGACTCCCTGCAGAGAAAAATACGGACTTTTAAGGACGATTAGGCTGAGATGCTAACACAGGTGGGTTAGTTTTAAAATGCTGGGTCATCAAAACACTACTACATGCAGCACAGTCTTACTTATTTTGGGAGAACACGCAAGCTTCATTTCAGCCTTCTTTTTTCAAGCTACAAAATAAGGCTCTGCTGTTACAGCTTCAGAATGTTACATTTTTTAAGTTAGCGCTGCTTCACGATAATTTTTAAAGCATTCACACGTTGCTGAGATTAGGCAAGAGATATCAAAAGGAAGAGACACTTAACTACTAATAAGCACAAGCAACAGCTGCGTAGCTCAATTAGCTTTTTGGTAGCATTGCCCTGTTAGTGGAACCACGTTTCATGGCAGTAATTTCTTCTTTCAAAGGTACAACACCCCATGTCCTCAATAAGGAACAGACATTCTCCTCTCAAAATTTAAGTAAAACTTCCTGTTAACACGAGAAACAAGAGTTAGGCTTACCTTATCAGCACACATTGCCACTTTAATATCTTGTTTTGTGATCTCATAATGCCTTATATTCCGCACATAATTCCCAACCAATTTTAAGATGTCTGCAGAAATGTATTCTAATACTGCCACTATGTAAACAGACATTTGATGGTCAATTTTGTAGCCTAGAACTTCCTGAAAGGAAAAAAAAAAACAAAACCAAACAGCAGCATTCCAGTGTTACTCAGTGGATGAAACACACACCATAGGTTACAACCAAACCCAGTAAGTTTAAGACTCTTCTCAATAAACATCCACCACACTCCCCGTCCATTTTAGTCATAGAAACACAGTGGTCTGTAGGCCTAGAGAAGAAACGCTGTCATTGTAGATGCTGCTCTATTAACTGTGGAAGTGACAACAGTCAACGACTGTCTCCAAAATCTCTCTTAAACGCTCAGAGCTACTTCCAGAAGTTTCTTGAGTGTTTTCTTAATCACGCAAAACGAAACACGAACAATCAAATGCATAGCAAGTGAGTTCTTGGCTTTGATTATCCAATACAGAATTAACTAGTGTTTAAGAGAAATATACGCAATTAACTAAACTGGAACACTTAAAACTATGTAACACAGAAATATTCCTTTTTGTTTACATTTCAGGCAGCCCACAGACATTACATGAAACAAAGGTGTCAACTTTAATTGCAATTAAAAGCAAGATTACATTACTGCTTACCTTTAATAAGGGATGGATTTTTTCTACTGGGAGAGATAACGGATTTCTTCGTTTCCTCTTTTCAATAGCAGACTGGGCATCAGCTATTGCCCACTTATCAATAGGATGGGGAAAACTTTTTTGAACGCGATCCTTTTAAAAAAAAAAAAAAAGGACTAAAGGGTAAATGCACAAGCTGAACGAGCTCAGCAATATTACTACATTATCAAATCGCTTTCCATTACTTAGCAAAGGAACGTTTGCTAACGGTAGTATTTCAGCCATAAAAGCTCGTACAACGTGTGTAAATTTTATCATTTTGGCACGCGCTGTTTGCTACATTCATAAAGTTGTATCAGAACATCATCATAGAATAATCTAGTGCTCAAAATTTGAGAAATGCCCGAATTAAGTTGCCAATGCAGGCACAATTGCGCACACTCCTGGTAATTCAGCATTTAAATACATGACTACATTTCATCCTAGCGCTTTATTCCCGCTACAGAATGGTCACTGAATGAGAGCTGAGTCTTCTGCTTCACCTTTATTGTTCAGCACATGGTCCAGACCGTATACATGCAAACCGCTCTGATGACAGCAAGGAACATAACAGGAAAAGAGAATGCCCCCATATTTTAAAACAGTTTCATAGTCTACAGTCGGACCATATATGCTCCAGTTTCTTTACTCCTTCCAGCAGCCAGGGGGCCTGAGGACACCTACGTTCTCCTGCTGGGACTCAGTCTCTGGAGGTTCAAAAGCTTCCCTGGTTTTGGTAGCCCTGGTGTTCAGAGACGCCAGAAACCTAATTTCTCAGATAACTCAGATTATTTTCTCCAGACTACAGTTCCCACTGAACGTTTCGGTTGCAAGTGCTCACTTATGTAAATATGACCCCCACTTTGAGCAACCATGAAATGAGGAAGATGAAGTTAATGACCACTTACAGAGAGCTGGTACAGGACAAGGTACACAAACAACAACTTTCTGACAAAAAACTGGGACAGAATACAATTCTATAAAGGTGGCACTCAGCTTTCCAAAGTACAGGCTTTTCTCGTTCTCCCCTCATCATAACACTTCTGCAAAAGGAAAGCAGAGGTCCTACCAAAAATAAAATAAAGTCTCATGCACTATCTAGTATCAATTCACTCCCCATACATAGTCCAGCTTGCTGACTGAACAAGGAAGGTGTCCCAGAGGAAAAATAAATGTGCATGACCATATAATTAGAGACAGCATCACTATGCGTAAACACAAAGGAGGTAAATTGAGGTTGCTTGATTGTCTCTTAATTCTTGCATTTCTCACCCCGACTCCACAGCTGTAAGACTCATAAGGCAATGCTGTGTGTCAAGTTTTTTGTTAGCACTGTTTAAAACATGGCATTAAACGATCTTCCACAAACCTCCTGTCTCTTGAGCTGCCAGATCAAGAGGATGTTGCAAAACGGGCCAGCCATTAAAGGGGACACTGGAACACCATTACAGGTGCCAGTGTTCAAAAGAGAAGAGGAATGATGAAATTCATGAATCCTGAGCTCAAGACAGCTACCTTTTTTTTTGTTGTTGTTGTTGTCTCTTGGGTTTTTTGGGGTTTGGGTTGGGTTTTTTTCTGCCATTAGTCCACTTTCTCCACAACGTGAGGAAGTTGCGTCTTGTTTTGTTACCTAACCTGACACAGGGGCAGCCTTCCTGAGTACTAGAAACCAACCGGCACGCTGCATATGGAGTCTGTAGCTTGGCACCAAAGTCCTGGTTAAGCACAAAAGGCCACCAAGATATTAACGGGCTTATAAGCTTAACCCATTTAGCTTAACTAATTTGTTTCTCAGATGGAGAAACTCTTCTCAGATCAAGCCCTCTTCTCGCACATCAAGCTACTGTTCTGAGCAACACAGGTTGTAGATCTTTGAAGAGGGGGTTGGTTTCTATAGAGAGGCAAGAAGTGTTCCTCAACTCATTCCAAGAAAGTGAGTGAACCATTTTTGTACAAACTTCTGGGAGCGTGGGGTGGTGTATCAGCCTAAATCACCGTGCTGAGAAAGCAGCACAAAGCCTCAGACTAAGCAGCTGTCATTTGCAGGCACCATCGGTGGGGGGAAAAAAGTCTTTTGAAAGCAACCAGTTCGCTTTGTGTACACCAGTTACACTTGCCATCTATTATACAGTAATACAGATAGTTTTACTGTGTGTTGAACAACACGCTCAATTGATAGAGAAATCAGATCAGTAATTCAACAGGCTTTATGTGCTGCTACATAAAGATACGTAATTACTACTTTCCTTTTTACATTGTGAAATGATTAACATATTAACAGTTCAAGTTATTACAGATTTGTAATAATTATTCTCTATACCTCTACATCCAGAAAACTTCTTGGTTGGGCTTGACACAACATATTTAACAACTGGAGAATTAACTCCTCCACATACTGTAATGCATCTTCAGTAGAGGAAAGTTTAGGATGAACTTGCACCTGAACCTATAGGAAACAGAAAAATTCAAGCTTTAAGTTCTGCTCTTCCACAAACTGCATGCTTTACTTGCAAAAAAAAACCAAAAAAAAACCAAACTACAAAAGAATGAGCCGAACAGCTCAGAAAAATCCAACCTAAAACGTTGCTCTGTTAAGGCACAGCAGATGAACGAGTGAAACACTCACCTACACCTGACAGAAATACAAATCTCAAATGCTAAATGTACTCAAATCACAGTAAATGACATTTAATGTCAAGAAAACAGCTAATTAATAACGATGCTTAGCAGTGAGATTAGGAGAACTGTTTAAAGCCCCCGCATGTATTTATCTTTCTCCCCTAGCTAAAACCACTTTGCATGAGACATTTTAGGCATAGAGATTTCTCCCTTTTACAACTCCTTGTTCATCACTCAATCTGTAATAATGAAAACCAGAACTTTTTTCCACAGAGGGAGCACTGCAGAAACAGCCCATTTCAGCAGTATCACCCTTCCAATTATTTAATCCATTCTTAACTAGTTCTCACTAAAGTAAAATCGGTTTCGAAGTTTGTTTCCATACTGAGTTTTTTTACAAGGAAGTCAGCCTCCAGAGTAAAAAAACACTTCAATAAACGGCTGCAAGCGTTGTCCTGGCAGTAAGTGGCAGTTCAGAGGTTTTGAACAGTTTGATGCCCACACGTTTCCTCGTATGTCATAAGCGGCTGTAAATTCTCACTGGCGTAAATTCCACCGAGGCGCGACCCTCCTCGCTCCTCCCATTCTTCTTCCAGCCAGTCATTTCACTTCTGAAACAAGCCTCCAAGGACAGCTCTCCTTTGCACTTCTGTAGCTCACGAAATAGCACAGTTTTAACCAGATCAAGTTTCAGGTATGCAAAGCTCAGTGCTTCACAGCTCAGACAGACAAGCAGTTTAATCTCAATCCTACACCGATGGCAAATATTATGCCAGAGCAAGCTGCCTGCTAACTTTCGCAATGCATCTTTCGAGCCCAAATTTCATCATTTTACCCTTCCACTGCACGCAACTCACAATGCCTCCGGTTCTCTCAATCGCTAACACAAAAGCTTAACCACCTTAAACCAAAACCCCACAATCTGTCTCACCCAAATATTAAAACCCATGTCTATATTCAAATAATGGAGCCATAATTATTTAATTTCACACCTGAGTTTTCATCCCTGCTTGGAGTTATGGCGAGAATTAAGTGTTATGAAGTTCACACACACAACAGCCTCGACTAGAAATCCACTTGCCTGCTAAGGCACTCATTAGTTTGAAAACTTCATGTCTGGGCATAGTCCCGGCGCTCGTTTACCTGCTGTTCAGATTTAAATGTGCTCGATCATGTGTTTAGTTTCTTGCAGATCGCATACCCTTACGCAGCAGGTTTTAAGGAACACCTCCAGAAGTTACTGCTTTGTCAACTTAAAAGCACTCTGGCAAAAAATAAAACAGGAGAACTTCTCCCCATTTGCCTAGCTAACCCGACTATTTTGATTATGCCAACAGTTTCATTTTTCCTAAGAACTTCACCACACGCAGCTACAGAGTGGGTTTGTGGAGGTACGCGAGTAACAGCCCGCCCAGCAGTCCCAAGCATTATTTACAATTCAAACACTGACATCTGAAATACTGTGCTGGCTTGGAACACCTTTTCACCAGAAATTACAGGCTTGCAGAAGTATTCTCTGAAAGATCTGAGCTGCCTGGAAGATGCTGCCTTTAATATTTGGGGTTTTTTCAAAGCAGAACCGAACGAATTTGTGTTACATTCTCTTTACAGTATACTTTGTGTTTCGAAAAGTGTTAAATTACCACGTCAATCCGACTTGGTAAAAAATACAGAGCGTGTTAAACCAGAGTGATGAAGAGCAGCTCTATTTTCTCCTTTGCTTAGAAAACAGGTTGCAGGCTTACACAGCCTCATCACAACTCTTTCCGTCTGTAACACCGAGTCTATAGGAATAAGAACAAACAAACAAAAATACCAGATCAGGCCGTGACCCGAAACATTATCCATAGTCAGCCAAAACAGAGTCAACAGCGATAACCTACTCCTACTTTGGGAGATAAAGTTCCAAACGTTTTTCCTAAGCATTTATGTTTTGGGGGGGGCAATTACATCATTCTTCTCAAAGGCCATTGTCTTCTGGCACTATTCACCTCATCAGAGGAAAACATCATGAGGTGCCATTGGCTTGCCAGCGTAGTTTATCTACATAGGCAGGTAGTAAATAAGCCTCATTGCTTCTTAATTGAGATTTAGTATCATCTAGGGTTCAAAGTCGTACAGGCAAAAGCAAGAAAACAACTCGACTAACGAGGAAAATGACAGGATAGCTTGGTGCACAATTATCACAGAAACGTGTAATTTCAGTATCTGCTCTACTGTAGCACCTCAAGGCTCAGACCAAGAATGAAAGAGTGTTACTGGAGGGGACCCGAAGCAAGTCCCAAGAAGCCCCTTACCTCAGAGGTGATGCAAGACTGGGTAAGATGCAAGATTTAGTAAGAGAAGACAAGAAATGAGAACATCTGTTCACACACGCCGTCATGTGACCGGTTTCAAAAAAGAAGATCAAGTTACCAGGGGGTTTCCATCTTTCTCATAAAGTCAGCCCAGCTTTTAAATTAAAAAAAAAAAAACAAAAAAACAAAAAAAAAACCACCCCCAAACCTAGGCCACCCTGCCTTATCACCCTTGCAAAGGAGGAGCATGGCTTGAATCCCGCCAGATCTTTCACAGTCCTATGCCAGGAATACACACGATAGACTCCCAACTTCTGAAAAAGCGTAGCGATGTTTAGATAAGATTCGTATCTAAACATTTAACCTCTCCCTTAAATAATGACAGAACCCATCCCTTCCCTCCTACACACACACAAAACCGTCCATCTTATAAGGGAAAATACTGAAAGAGCAGGTTAAGGAAAAGCCTCAATTCTTCAAAATACCCCAACAAATTCTAATGGGCGAATACAACCCACATCAGCTACAAATCCCTGCCTCCGCGGCTCTGTTTTCACTCAGCTCATCTGATCACTTTTTTCCACTGTTTAATCTTCTCAATCTTTTTTAATTGTCAAAAGGAAAATGACCAGGATCCTCTTTATTTGAAGATAAGCAGAGCCAGCACTTCTTCAACAGCTTTTCATGCTGCATTTAGGAACACGAGCAGACACAAACAGTGTCTTCATAAGAAAATTTGCAGCACTTCAGGATGATCCTATGATACGACCGCTTGGCTTTTTTTTTTTTATTATTATTCCCTTAAAAAAAATCAACAAAAGCAAGGAATTTCTATCAGGAATGGCAAACAGCTTAAAAATCAGGCAGCCATAAACCTAAACTGCCAGAAAAAGCCAATGAAACCAACTAAAAAAAAAACCCAAATGTGCTTAATAAGTGATACAAAGATAAATATATCTGATATTACTTTATGACCCTTAGCAACTTATTTTATACAAAGCTTTCTCAAACCATTCTCTACGTAATAAATTAGAATATAAGCACTCCCACAAGCCTCATGGGCAGCAACAGGGACCTAGACCAAACCCAGAAACGCGTTTCAGTTACAGGACTACAGATCAAACAGCTTCAGCTCACACAGAGGCTTGGTCTCCCACTGGTCCAATCCAGCAGCTCCTGGGCTAGTAGCAAGATGACCCACACAGGAGTCTAGATTGGCGCTTCGCAGCGCATCCTGCGCTACAAAGAGGTGTCTGATAACAGATAGGAAAGGAAGACTCACACAGTGAATTTAACAGTCTGGTTGATACTAAACCACACTTCCTTAGCAACAGCTTTCAGCTACCTCTTCCTCACGCGGCCTAATGTATGGCCATCAGAAAGCTGAAAAAAATTCAACTTCGAAGGGAAAAAAAACCCTCTTCGAAGAGCTCCTGAGGCAACTTCACGTGTTACACAAAACCACCGGTGTAGCGCTCCTGAATTATCATTAACAATCAGTGCAGCCAGGCTCACAGTTCGCAGTTGTTCTGCTAAATAAGGAACACAGCAGAAAAATCCTACGCGTGGAAGGCTGCGGAGAGAACACCCAACTGAGTCCCATCAGGAGCAGCAGAAGCTCCAGAAGCTTCAGAAAAAGCATGTAACAGAAGGAAACCATTTTAAAGCTACATAACAAACTGCAATAAAAATGAAGCACCTACTGTGGGTGAGAGATATTTTTTATTATATTTTTTTTTCCTATCTGGACAAGACTACCCACCTACTGGCATTCTGGAAAGAAGTCAGAGCACTGCTCAAAAGCCAACGCCTGCTAGAGAACAACTCCGCTTCACTGCTGAGTTCAGGTACCACCATGCAGCCAGTCTCACTTGGTAGGGGACAAAGTGCGTGTAAGAAAGTGTCTGAACGAAAAAAAACCATCCTATTTGCCACTGCATTTTGATAATAAAGTGGAAGAGACAACAGGCCAAGCTGTTTTCCAAAGCACTGTCAGAGCAGGTGAAACTTTACTGATTATATGCATTTTTCTACACCTAAAATTTTCCAAACCTTTGCAGACATAGTTTATTCAACAGATTATTAGTAGAAATGACTTGGCCACAGGGCGGGGGGAAGAATTTTCTTCACTTCAGTAACTTTGAAAGTCTTCACTAATGTTATAACCCTCATTTTTACTCAACCTATCTTTTGTTCATTTTCCTTCAATGACTACAAAACTCTTGACAAGCAACTGCTTATCACTAAAACACTCCAGGATGAAATATTTTACACACAGCCTGAATGGATGAGTGTTCTCATAGTGCAAAAACTCCAAAAAAAAAGGGGTTTGCTTCTTTTCTTGTAGATCTCTGCTGATATTTGGCAAACCTGCCCATGTTTTGTTATCTTGACCAATTAAAAATCCAGTAAATTAAGCCAAATACAAACATCTTGGATCCACGCTTCAGCAATGATTCACTGAGGCCACAAGACTCGGATTTTTTTTTTTTTCCTCACATTTCTCTTGCTGTATCAAGGCAGCAGTATTACGCTGCACTAGTGAGCACATGAAAAAGAACTTACATTAAAGACTTGAACTGTAGGAGGATCTTAACTTTATCCTCCACAGCCATCGGAACAGAGAACCCAAAGCGATCAGAAATTAAGGGCGTTCTACACCTGCAATGAAGAAGCGCCAAGAATAAGAAGCGCCATTCTGAGTAGCAAGTGGCAAATCGACTGTCATCCATTTGATGAACCAGGTAATTAAAAGTCAGGTAGAAATATCTTTGCCAGCCACAGCTTCCCGAGCACTCCGTAGTCACTGAAGCAGCTTTTGTCGTCTCTTGCTCGGTGAAAAGTATGGAAGACTGACCATACAATACACGGAGTACCTGGAAGCGCACTGTCTGGAACAATTACCTTAACTGAAGAAACAAATCCCTCTCAGCTGTCGAGCCACATCAGTCCAATCATTCTGACCACAACAAATTCCAAGAGCAGCTCTTGTTAACTGCTCAACTGATTCAAAACAACTTGAGGTACGCAAACAGTGGAATATCCAGACAGTAAGAAAGTTCTTTTGTTTTTCCTCAATCGCTGAATTGCTTAAGGTACCAACCGGTAAGGATAACATGCTTTCTCCTGTAAATACCAACATATTAGGGAAGAAGCAAGTCACAGGCATGCAGAGAAATTCTGCATCAAGAAGCAAGATGAAGCCACAAAGGAAAGATGTTTAGGAAAAAATATCCAAAAGGTTATGACCAGAATGAAGTGTATGAATTCAATAGCGAAGGAACACCAATGTTGGCAGAGGCGTCAC